GTTGTGTTAGCTTTAACTTAATTTTATTTTAGTTATTTATATTGGGCGCTACACTATACGTGTCTGTCATTTCAGATATTGTTGGATGTAGATGTAGTTTGTAACATTTTGAAAATGTAGGTTCCCAGACTATAGTCGTGACTAGTCTGGACTATAGAATAGACTATAGTCAAGTCCAGACTATAGACTACGCTGTAGTTCAGATTATAGACTAGATAATAGTCCAGATGATAGAGTAGAATAATGTCCAGACTATATACTAGTATAAAGTCCAGACTAAATACCAGACTAGACTGCAGTCCAGACTATAGACTAGACTGTTCTCCAGACTATAAACTAGTCTATAGTCCAGACTAGACTATAGTCCCGCCTATAGTCTAGACTATATATTAGACTGTAATCTATAGTCTTGTCTATAGTCTGGACTATAGTCTGAACTATAGTCTGAACTTCAGACTATAGGCTAGAATATAGTCAAGACTACAGTCCAGAGTATAGATTAGAATAAAGTTCAAACTATAGACTAGACTATAGTCCAGACTATAGACTAGACTATAGTTCAGGCTATATAGTCTAGACTATAGTTCAGACTATAGTCCAGACTATAGACTATAGTTCAGACTATATTCCAGACTAAGGACTAGACTATAGTCCAGACTATAGACTATACTATAGTCCAGACTATAGACTATACTATAGTCCAGACTATAGACTATACTATAGTCCAGACTATAGACTATACTATAGTCCAGACTATAGACTATACTATAGTCCAGACTATAGACTATACTATAGTCCAGACTATAGACTATACTATAGTCCAGACTATAGACTATACTATAGTCCAGACTATAGACTATACTATAGTCCAGACTATAGACTATACTATAGTCCAGACTGTAGACTATACTATAGTCCAGACTATAGACTATACTATAGTCCAGACTATAGACTATACTATAGTCCAGACTATAGACTATACTATAGTCCAGACTATAGACTATACTATAGTCCAGACTATAGACTATACTATAGTCCAGACTATAGACTATACTATAGTCCAGACTATAGACTATACTATAGTCCAGACTATAGACTATACTATAGTCCAGACTATAGACTTGACTATAGTCCAGACTATAGACTATACTATAGTCCAGACTATAGACTATACTATAGTCCAGACTATAGACTTGACTATAGTCCAGACTATAGACTAGACTATAGTCCAGACTATAGACTAGACTATGGTCCAGACTATAGACTAGACTATGGTCCAGACTATAGACTAGACTATAGTTCAGACTATAGACTAGACTATAGTCCAGACTATAGACTATACTATAGTCCAGACTATAGACTATACTATAGTCCAGACTATAGACTATACTATAGTCCAGACTATAGACTATACTATAGTCCAGACTATAGACTATACTATAGTGCAGACTGTAGACTATACTATAGTCCAGACTATAGACTATACTATAGTCCAGACTATAGACTATACTATAGTCCAGACTGTAGACTATACTATAGTCCAGACTATAGACTATACTATAGTCCAGACTATAGACTATACTATAGTCCAGACTATAGACTATACTATAGTCCAGACTATAGACTATACTATAGTCCAGACTATAGACTTGACTATAGTCCAGACTATAGACTATACTATAGTCCAGACTATAGACTATACTATAGTCCAGACTATAGACTTGACTATAGTCCAGACTATAGACTAGACTATAGTCCAGACTATAGACTAGACTATGGTCCAGACTATAGACTAGACTATGGTCCAGACTATAGACTAGACTATAGTCCAGACTATAGACTAGACTATAGTCCAGACTATAGACTAGACTATAGTCCAGACTATAGACCAGCTGATCTTCTAGGCGACTTTTACTGAGCACAACTTTTTCTTGCGTGTTTTCTTTCTTATTTATTCAATAATATTATTGATTTTTAATTTTTCAGATCTTTTAACGCTGAGTTGCTGCTGTTAATAAAAGCTTTAATATTTTATTATTTTTTGCCGAAAATTGTTTCTTCCAAAATTTTCAACCATTATTTACTTCACTTTGACCGATAAATAAAAGCTTGGCGTTAAGGTTTTGGAAAACTTCATGTCTATTATTATTTTTTATTTATTTATTTATTTAATTTTTTGCTTTTAACACTTACCCGTTTTTTCAGAATTATTAATTTTGCGTTTTGATTTATTTATTTAAAATTTGTTGTGTGTTTAAAGGTGTTAATTTTGGTTTTTTGTATAAAAATATTAATAAATTCATAATTAATTTTATAAATATTTTTGCATACATAAATTTTAATATATTAACTTGGTGGTAGTTATTGCCAACGTCTGGAATTTGTATTAAAAAATTAAATTGTTTAACTCTGAATTTGGATAAACTGTATTTTCTAGAAGCTGAACTTAATTGGAGCTTAACTAGAATTTAACTAGAACTGAAGTAGAACTAACCTTGAACCGAACTAGAACTGAACTAGAACTAAACTAGAACTGAAGTATAACTGAAGTAGAACTAGAACTGAACTAGAACTGAACTAGAACTGAACTAGAACTGAACTAGAACTGAACTAGAACTGAACTAGAACTGAACTAGAACTGAACTAGAACTGAACTAGAACTGAACTAGAACTGAACTAGAACTGAACTAGAACTGAACTAGAACTGAACTAGAACTGAACTAGAACTGAACTAGAACTGAACTAGAACTGAACTAGAACTGAACTAGAACTGAACTAGAACTGAACTAGAACTGAACTAGAACTGAACTAGGACTGAACTAGAACTGAACTAGAACTGAACTAGAGCTGAACTAGAACTGAACTAGAATTGAAGTAGAACTAACCTAGAACCGAACTAGAACTGAACTAGAACTCAAGTAGAACTGAACTAGAACTGAACTAAAACTGAACTAGAACTGAACTAGAACTGAACTAGAACTGAACTAGAACTGAACTAGAACTGAACTAGAATTGAAGTAGAACTAACCTAGAACCGAACTAGAACTGAACTAGAACTCAAGTAGAACTGAACTAGAACTGAACTAGAACTGAACTAGAACTGAACTAGAACTGAACTAGAACTGAACTAGAACTGAACTAGAACTGAACTAGAACTGAACTAGAACTGAACTAGAACTGAACTAGAGCTGAACTAGAACTGAACTAGAACTGAACTAGAATTGAAGTAGAACTAACCTAGAACCGAACTAGAACTGAACTAGAACTCAAGTAGAACTGAACTAGAACTGAACTAAAACTGAACTAGAACTGAACTAGAACTGAACTAGAACTGAACTAGAACTGAACTAGAACTGAACTAGAACTGAACTAGAACTGAACTAGAACTGAACTAGAACTGAACTAGAACTGAACTAGAACTGAACTAGAACTGGACTAGAACTGAACTAGAACTGAACTAGAACTGAACTAGAACTGAACTAGAACTGAACTAGAACTGAACTAGAACTGACCTAGAACTGAACTAGAACTGAACTAGAACTGAACTAGAACTGAACTAGAACTGAACTAGAACTGAACTAGAACTGAACTAGAACTGAACTAGAACTGAACTAGAACTGAACTAGAACTGAACTAGAACTGAACTAGAACTGAACTAGAACTGAACTAGAACTGAACTAGAACTGAACTAGAACTGAACTAGAACTGAACTAGAACTGAACTAGAACTGAAGTAGAACTGAACTAGAACTAAACTAGAACTGTACTGAACTAGAACTGTACTGAACTAGAACTGTACTGAACTAGAACTGTACTGAACTAGAACTGTGCTGAACTAGAACTGTACTAAACTAGAACTGTACTAAACTAGAACTGAACTAGAACTGAACTAGAACTGAACTAGAACTGAACTGAACTAGAACTGAACTGAACTAGAACTGAACTAGAACTGAACTAGAATTGAACTAGAACTGAACTAGAACTGAACTAGAACTGAACTAGAACTTAACTAGAACTGAACTAGAACTGAACTAGAACTGAACTAGAACTGAACTAGAACTTAACTAGAACTGCACTAGAACTGAACTAGAACTTAACTAGAACTGAACTAAAACTGAACTAGAATTGAACTAGAACTGAACTAGAACTGAACTAGAACTGAACTTAAACTGAACTAGAACTGGAACTGAACTAGAACTAGAACTGAGCTAGATCCGAACTGGATCTCAAGGTAAACTAGAACTGAGCTTTAGTTAGTTAGTTAGTTAATTAGTTAGTTACTTAGTTAGTTAGTTTGTTAGTTTGTTAGTTAGTTAGTTAGTTAGTTAGTTAGTTAGTTAGTTAGTTAGTTAGTTAGTTAGTTAGTTAGTTAGTTAGTTAGTTAGTTAGTTAGTTAGTTAGTTAGTTAATTAATTAGTTAGTTAGTTAGTTAGTTAGTTAGTTAGTTAGTTAGTTAGTTAGTTAGTTAGTTAGTTAGTAGTTAGTTAGTTAGTTAGTTAGTTAGTTAGTTAGTTAGTTAGTTAGTTAGTTAGTTAGTTAGTTAGTTAGTTAGTTAGTAGTTAGTTAGTTAGTTAGTTAGTTAGTTAGTTAGTTAGTTAGTTAGTTAGTTAGTTAGTTAGTTAGTTAGTTAGTTAGTTAGTTAGTTAGTTAGTTAGTTAGTAGTTAGTTAGTTAGTTAGTTAGTTAGTTAGTTAGTAGTTAGTTAGTAGTTAGTTAGTTAGTTAGTTAGTTAGTTAGTTAGTTAGTTAGTTAGTTAGTTAGTTAGTTAGTTAGTTAGTTAGTTAGTTAGTTAGTTAGTTAGTTAGTTAGTTAGTTAGTTAGTTAGTTAGTTAGTTAGTTAGTTAGTTAGTTAGTTAGTTAGTTAGTTAGTTAGTTAGTTAGTTAGTAGTTAGTTAGTTAGTTAGTTAGTTAGTTAGTTGGTTACTTAATTAGTTAGTTGGAAGAATATTTCTTAGTTTTTTCCTTTTTAAATGAAACTCTTTTCGATTTGTATTTTTATTCCAAACTTTGTGATTATTTTTATTAATTTATTTTTATTTCTTGTGTCTTGCATTTATTTCTTTCAAATCACTACAAATAATAAAATATTATTTATCAAAACTCCAACTATTGGGCGATAATAATACAACACTACTTTATCAAATTAATAATAATACAAAATTGCAATAAGCAACCTTTATAAAAAAAAAACAATAAAAAAAATATAATTACAATCATAAAAAAAGATTAAATAATTTAATTACAACAACAATATAAAACTTAAAGTAAAAATTGCACAATTTTTTGTCTTGTAGGAAAAATGGTTTGTTTTACAATTAAACCTTTAAAAATATTTACTTTATAAAACTTTCGTTTTGTAAAAATATTTTAAAATTTTGTCCCCTGGGGGATCATGTACAGGGGAGTTCTATGTCTTTTTTTTTCATGTTGAGTATTAAAAATATTTTTTTAAAATTTCTTTTCTTAAACTTCTGAGGACGCAAAAATATTTTAAGTTTATTTTTGTTTATCTTAACTTCCTGTTACAAAATACATAATAAATATAGCTACATAAATGTTTAAAAAATAAGCTTTATTTTTATAGTTTGCTATAAAGCTTGTTTTGACGGCATATTACTGTTTTTCAATAACTTTTTATGTTTCTTAATAATTGGCACAATAAACTAAAACTAAGTTTTCAAAAAAAAAAAAACTTAATAAAATTAACTTATAGTTTAAACGGCTAAAAAGCTAAACAAATTGTTTCATTCACTTCATATCATTAGGGGAATGTTGAAATTATATAAGGACTAGTTTTTAAATAAATTATATAATTTTTTTTGTTTATAAAATAAATAACAAAATTTAGCAAAACAATTTTTGTACTCAATAAGCCAACAACTAAAATTAAACAGCTAAACAAAAATTTTTTTAAAAAAGCTTTTACACAAATAAGAAATTCTTAACAAAAATGTGTTACTAACACAAACAAGTATTTAGACTAAAACATTTAAAAACTTTTACATTTTTTTTTTCATAAAATGTAAATAATTTACTATAAAAAGTTTAAAGAGACGTTTCCTTTAAGAATGTTTTTTTGGGTTTTTTATAAAAAAAAATCCTTTTTTGTAAAAAGGTTTTTGTTAAAAATACAAACGTCTTTATAATATTTATGCTATTTTATGTTTAAGGAATGATCTTTTATAATCATATAATTAACTTTAACTTTATTCGCTCTCTCGTGGACTTCTTTGGCGTTTCTACTCTAAAACTCTAACTCTAATCCCGCCTTTTTAAAACAATATATAGGAATGATCGCGTTCTAATCTCCCTTTTGCTCTCATTGCTATATTACCCATGGGATCTGAGGGTGGTGGTATACCCGTTATTTCTTTAGCCGGTTCTTTATAGAAGATTTCTGTTCGTCCTGCTTTATAACCATAATATACTGAATCATAAGAACGTAATATTAAATCGGTTAATTGTTTATTATTCAACATGTCACGATGCATGCTTTCTAATGTATTCAGTTCTACTGGACTCCAAGGACCATTACGTTCTAAGGCATCCCATTTGGAATCGATACACATAAAACTATAGCTGCCATCACGTTTGTCGGCTTCAACATTAATATTTAAGGTTTGACTAAGATGAGATTCCATGTGGGGAAATTTGGAGACACAAATATCGAACTGGAAGGTAAAAAATTAAATCAATTTTAGATAAAAATGGAAAAGATTACACCGTATCGGAGTAAGTAATATTCTTAAAACGATATTCAGTTAGTTTCGTAGTAAATTACTAGAACTGAGGTAGAACAGAACTAGAACTGAACTAGAAATGAACTAGAAGTGAACTAGAACTGAACTGAACTAGAACTGAACTAGAACTGAACTAGAACTGAACTAGAACTGAACTAGAACTGAACTAGAACTGAACTAGAACTGAACTAGAACTGAACTAGAACTGAACTAGAACTGAACTAGAACTGAACTAGAACTGAACTAGAACTGAACTAGAACTGAACTAGAACTGAACTAGAACTGAACTAGAACCGAACTAGAACTGAACTAGAACTGAACTAGAACTGAACTAGAACTGAACTGAACTAGAAATGAACTAGAAATGAACTAAAACTGAACTAGAACTAGAACTGAACTGGAACTGAACTGGAACTGAACTAGAACTGAACTAGAACTGAACTAGAACTGAACTAGAACTGAACTAGAACTGAACTAGAACTGAACTAGAACTGAACTAGAACTGAACTAGAACTGAACTAGAACTGAACTAGAACTGAACTAGAACTGAACTAGAACTGAACTAGAACTGAACTAGAACTGAACTAGAACTGAACTAGAACTGAACTAGAACTGAACTAGAACTGAACTAGAACTGAACTAGAACTGAACTAGAACTGAACTAGAACTGAACTTGAACTGAACTAGAACTGAATTAGAACTGAACTAGAACTGAACTGGAACTGAACTAGGACTGAACTGGAACTGAACTAGAACTGAACTTGAACTGGACTAGAACTGAACTTGAACTGAACTAGAACTGATCTAGAACTGAACTAGAACTGAACTAGAACTGAACTAGAACTGAACTAGAACTGAACTAGAACTAGAAGTGAACTAGAACTGAACTAGAACTGAACTAGAACTGAACTAGAACTGAACTGGAACTGAACTAGGACTGAACTGGAACTGAACTAGAACTGAACTTGAACTGGACTAGAACTGAACTTGAACTGAACTGAAACTGAACTGAAACTGATCTAGAACTGAACTAGAACTGAACTAGAACTGAACTAGAACTAAAATAGAACTGAACTAGAACTGAACTAGTACTGAACTAGAACTGAACTAGAACTGAACTAGAACTGAACTAGAACTGAACTAGAACTGAACTAGAACTGAACTAGAACTGAACTAGAACTGAACTAGAACTGAACTAGAACTGAACTAGAACTGAACTAGAACTGAACTAGAACTGAACTAGAACTGAACTAGAACTGAACTAGAACTGATCTAAAACTGAACTAGAACTGAACTAGAACTGAACTAGAACTAGAACTGAACTAGAACTGATTTGGATAAAAATATAAAATTTTAAAGATTTTTTTTTAATTTCATTAAACTCACCATTTTCTGTACGATTTTAGCATGCTGCGAACAACCCTCCTCCATAATCAACAGCAGAGTCATATTCTGCTGACCACACACATACAATTCAGCCTTTTGCAAACCATCCTGATTGCCCGCGTTCGAGGAAAGACAAGTCAAAACATCTACCGCATCATCACACTTAAGAGAATTGCGTTTGCCTAAAGTCTTTGAAGTATTCAAAGGAGTTTGAATTTCTATATTAGCACCAGGAGTAGCATCCCAAGCTGGTCGTTCCTCATTCAAAGCCAACACCGAAAGCTTAGCCATAAGGGGTGTTAAAGGTACCCCACCCAATTGTTTACGGGTGGTAGTTACAGCCGGACGTTCCCCAGAGGGTGTAGAATCCGATATTGACTTCAATGGTAAACTAAGAGATTTTTTATCCAAAGGTGTTTTAGGTTTTTGTTGACTGAAAGAGTTTTCCAAATTTAAATTACGATCGGGTTTGTTAGTATTAGTGGGATTTCTAAGAGATTCATCCAATTTCTTAAGCTCATTATCGAATTCTTTAAACTCTTCTATTAGCTTGGCTATATCCTCATCTTGTTTACTTTCCTCGCTGGCTTCACCCCATAATTTATAGTATTTTTCCAGGAATTCCTGAAACAAACTACGCGATATGGGTTGACCATTGGCATTAAACACTGGATTGGTGGGATCTGTTATGGTGCGGGAAGTTTTATTATTTTCATCCGAATTATCAGAATTCTCTTCTTCATCTATGAAATCTGGAGACATATCTGTGGCAGCATTGCCATTACGATTAACATCAGTCTTAAAACTTTGAGAGATTTGTTTTAAAGAAATCTTTTTGGAGAATTTCTTTAAAGAATCATGGATATCGGTTAGAGAGTTGCGACGTTCCATTTTATTGGGATTGGTTATGAAATTGTGGAAGAATTTTTCAAAATCTTTTTTCAAAGAATTACGTCTATTGATTTGATGCAAAGTATTGTTTTGTTCCACCTGTTTATTGGAGTTGTTTTCATCTTCTGGATTGGCACATATAGACATAATGTTGCCTACGGCCAAAACCTTATTCTCAGCCATGGGAGTGGAGCAAACAGAGGTGCGTCCTATGAATTCGGGATAAGAATCAGTTTCATCAAAGTTAATGGAAGCAATGCCGGATTCTGGCAATTCTTTATTGGAATAGTTTTTAATGCGCAAAGGCAAGTGCGTAGGTCTAGTCATCATGAGACTTTTAGGCCTTACAGGACCGGGGGTGGTTATGGTTGTGATGTTAGTGGCCTCTTCTGCCTGTTCCTCGGGATGTTCACTTATACTTTGTGTAGTATTCTCTTCGGGTATATGGGTGAATATAAGAGATTTATCTCTTTTCATTTTACGTTTATTATATTGAAACGGCAAAGGCCCTTGACCCAATTGAGTGGTCTGTAGATTTTGAGCTCTCTGAGCTTCAGCTTGTAGTTTACGATATTGTAGAGTCTCCAGATAGACTACTAACATTTGGACACCATTGGGTATGTGAAATTCTGAGGAGGTTAATTGTTCCCCTGTGGTTCTTATATGCAAAGGATCGGTTTAAAACGATTTGTTTGGTAACAGCATCGCTAAGTTGAGAGGCAACGACTCTGCGGAGAGAAAATAGAATTTTATTAAGTTCTATACTAGTTCAGTTCTAGTTGAGTTCTTGTTCAGTTTTAGTTCAGTTCTAGTTTAGTTCAGTTCTAGTTCAGTTCTAGTTTAGTTCTAGTTCAGTTCTAGTTCAGTTCTAGTTCAGTTCTAGTTCAGTTCTAGTTCAGTTCTAGTTCAGTTCTAGTTTAGTTCTAGTTTACTTCTAGTTCAGTTCTAGTTCAGTTCTAGTTCAGTTCTAGTTCACTTCTAGTTCACATCTAGTTCAGTTCTAGTTCAGTTCTAGTTCAGTTCTAGTTCAGTTCTAGTTCAGTTCTAGTTTAGTTCTAGTTCAGTTCTAGTTCAGTTCTAGTTCAGTTCTAGTTCAGTTCTAGTTCAGTTCTAGTTCAGTTCTAGTTCAGTTCTAGTTCAGTTCTAGTTCAGTTCTAGTTCAGTTCTAGTTCAGTTCTAGTTCAGTTCTAGTTCAGTTCTAGTTCAGTTCTAGTTCAGTTCTAGTTCAGTTCTAGTTCAGTTCTAGTTCAGTTCTAGTTCAGTTCTAGTTCAGTTCTAGTTCAGTTCTAGTTCAGTGCTAGTTAAGTTCTAGTTAAGTTCTAGTTCAGTTCTAGTTCAGTTCTAGTTCAGTTCTAGTTCAGTTCTAGTTCAGTTCTAGTTCAGTTCTAGTTCAGTTCTAGTTCAGTTCTAGTTCAGTTCTAGTTCAGTTCTAGTTCAGTTCTAGTTCAGTTCTAGTTCAGTTCTAGTTCAGTTCTAGTTCAGTTCTAGTTCATTTCTAGTTCAGTTCTAGTTCAGTTCTAGTTCAGTTCTTGTTCAGTTCTAGTTCAGTTCAGTTCTAGTTCAGTTCAGTTCTAGTTCAGTTCTTGTTCAGTTCTAGTTCAGTTCTAGTTCAGTTCTAGTTCAGTTCTAGTTCAGTTCTAGTTCAGTTGTAGTTAAGTTCTAGTTCATTTCTAGTTCAGTTCTAGTTCAGTTCTAGTTCAGTTCTAGTTCAGTTCAGTTCTAGTTCAGTTCTAGTTCAGTTCTAGTTCAGTTCTTGTTCAGTTCTAGTTCAGTTCTAGTTCAGTTCTAGTTCAGTTCTAGTTCAGTTCTAGTTCAGTTCTAGTTCAATTCTAGTTCAATTCTAGTTCAGTTCTAGTTCAATTCTAGTTCAATTCTAGTTCAGTTCTAGTTCATTTCTAGTTCAGTTCTAGTTTATTTCTATTTCAGTTCTAGTTCTGTTCTGGTTCTGTTCTAGTTCAGTTCTAGTTCAGTTCTAGTTCAGTTCTAGTTCAGTTCTAGTTCAGTTCTAGTTCAGTTCTAGTTTAGTTCTAGTCCAGTTCTAGTTCAGTTAGTTCAGTTCTAGTTCAGTTCTAGTTCAGTTCTAGTCAGTCTAGTTCAGTTCTAGTTCAGTTCTAGTTCAGTTCTAGTTCAGTTCTAGTTCAGTTCTAGTTCAGTTCTAGTTCAGTTCAGTTCTAGTTCAGTTCTAGTTCAGTTCTAGTTCAGTTCTAGTTCAGTTCTAGTTCAGTTCTAGTTCAGTTCTAGTTCAGTTCTAGTTCAGTTCTAGTTCAGTTCTAGTTCAGTTCTAGTTCAGTTCTAGTTCAGTTCTAGTTCAGTTCTAGTTCAGTTCTAGTTCAGTTCTAGTTCAGTTCTAGTCAGTTCTAGTTCAGTTCTAGTTCAGTTCTAGTTCAGTTCTAGTTCCATTCTAGTTCAGTTCTAGTTCAGTTCAAGTTTAGTACTATTTCAGTTCTAGTTTAGTACTATTTCTGTGCTAGTTCAGTTCTGCCTTCCATTTTATATAGTTTTAGTTCAGTTCTAGTTACTTACTTGTTATGATATAGAATGGCACCACCCAAAACACCTTTGGTCTGCTGACAACACTGCAAAGTTTGTATAGCTTCCAAAAAGATATTACTGGCCGTTTTGGGCATTCTTAGTTTGGGTACATTTTGAAATATATTGCCATTATATTGCAAAATTGGTAGATATGTTTCAAATATATGATATAATTTTTCCGATAAATTCTTGTACTGAGACTGCAAAGGAAATTGATCATAGACCAGTTGCAAATCACGATGATAAAACTTCACCAAAGAGGCCAACAAGTCAGCACGATGTTGCAACATATAATCAGAGATATTGCGATCAGTGCCCACGGCCTGATAAAGAACAAAATGGTAAAGTTAAAAAAAGGATTTTATTGAAAATTTCAAAAGTTTTACTCACCAATATAAACCGACCAAATTCTTTAAAAACAAATTTGCCATTTTGCAAGGAAATAATGCGTGGCTTAAAGAAACAATCTTTAAGAAAATAAGAAGAACCCATTAACTGGCCGCACAAGGCCACCTTTTGGGTATCCGACACCCAACTGGGATGGAAATATAAAACCGCCTTAACCGGATCAGCAGCCTCATCCTTCAAACACTCGGTATCGTAAACAAACACAATCATAGTTTCCCTGTAATATTAATATTTTATTACAAATATATTTAAAATAATTTTTATTTTATTTAATTTTTTTTTTTGGATAATAAACCTTTCTTCATGTAATTTTGTTAATTTAGCATTTTCTAAATTCTGTTGTATGGAAGACCAACGTTTAAACTCTACTTTACGCCAGGTTTTAAACATATTTTGTTTTTACTTTTACACTAATTCTTCGAGACTTTTTTAAATATTTGCTTATGAAAACAAATCTTATCTTTTGCTTTCTTTTTTGTATTTTGTTTATTTGATAAAAAAACAACATGCAAGAAGTATTCCTTTGCTTTATTAACACATTCAAACGTCTACTATTAACTGATAATAATAAAATAAAGGCCAATATTGCCAACCCCTCTTATTAGACTACATCAACAAACTGCCACCATCAACAACATCATCTTCTTTAGGCACATCTTATATTGCTTTTCAAACAACAACAACAGCAACATCATCATCATGTGCGAGTATGAGTACTTCTACACAGTATTTAAATAGTTGTTTAAACAACCTTAGACTTTTTCCACAAATAAAAAAACTTGTGATTGATATATTGTACGGTTGAGTGAAAAGTTTACAGCTCAAAAAATATCAATTACAACATGCATTGTGACAGTTGTAATGTATGAATAGGATAGATAGGGTGGGTGGGGGATTGTAGACTTTGTGGAGACATATAAAATATTAATCTTAAAAAGTTTTATTTTCTGTTAAACAAGTTGTATAGAACTGTGTTAAAGGAATTTCCTATAGATATTAGTTACGGTTAAGAACTTTTAATGAAGAGATTTTTTATTAAACATAAATGCAAAAAGTTTTCAAATAGTAAAAGAAAACTGTTAAAATTAATTAAGTGAAAAAATATTTATACATAACTAGGTTACAATTTATATGTAAAACTAACCTCAATGAAATACATTTTATAAAAAAGTTATAAAAGATTTTATAAGTGACCATAGGATTTAAACATTATTTTTAGTGAAAATTTAAAATTTTAAGTGAAAATTAAAATTTTTGTGAAATTTTGAATTTCGTTGAAAATTTTAAATTTATGTGAAGATTTTAATTGTTATTAAAAATTTCAATTTTTAGTAAAAATTTTAATTTTTAATAAAAATTAGTGAAAATCTCCAATTTTAGTAAAAATTTTAGTTTTTATTAAAACTTAGTAAAAATATAAAATTTCTAGAAAATTCGGTTCGGTTTACCGTTCTAGTTCAGTTTCAGTTTAGTTCTAATTCAGTTATATGTAGTTCAGTTCTAATTCAGTTGTAGTTCAGTTCTAATACAGTTCTAGTTCAGTTCTAGTTCAATTCCAGTTCAGTTTTAGTTTAGTTCTAGTTCAGTTCTAGTTCGTTTCGAGTTCAGTTCTAGTTCAGTTCAAGTTCAGTTCTAGTTCAGTTCAGTTCTAGTTCAGATCTAGTTCAGTTCTAGTTCAGTTCTAGTTCAGTTCTAGTTCAGTTCTAGTTCAGTTGTAGTTCAGTTCTAGTTCAGTTCTAGTTCAGTTCTAGTTCAGTTCTAGTTCAGTTGTAGTTCAGTTCTAGTTCAGTTCTAGTTCAGTTCTAGTTCAGTTCTAGTTCAGTTCTAGTTCAGTTCTAGTTCAGTTCTAGTTCAGTTCTAATTCAGTTCTAGTTCAGTTCTAGTTCAGTTCTAGTTCAGTTCTAGTTCAGTTCTAGTTCAGTTCTAGTTCAGTTCTAGTTCAGTTCTAGTTCAGTTCTAGTTAAGTTCTAGTTCAGTTCTAGTTCAGTTCTAGTTCAGTTCTAGTTCAGTTCTAGTTCAGTTTTAGTTCAGTTCTAGTTCAGTTCTAGTTCAGTTCTAGTTCAGTTCTAGTTCAGTTCAAGTTCAAGTTCAGTTCTATTTCAGTTCTAGTTCAGTTCTAGTTCAGTTCTAGTTAAGTTTTAGTTCAGTTCTAGGTTAGTTCCAGTTCTTGTTCAGTTCTAGTTCAGTTCCAGTTTAGTTCAGTTCTAGTTCAGTTCAGTTCTATTTCAGTTCTATTTCAGTTATAGTTCAGTTATAGTTCAGTTCTAGTTCAGTTCTAGTTCAGTTCTAGTTCAGTTCTAGTTCAGTTCTAGTTCAGTTCTAGTTCAGTTCTAGTTCAGTTCTAGTTCAGTTCTAGTTCAGTTCTAGTTCAGTTCTAGTTCAGTTCTAGTTCAGTTCTAGTTCAGTTCTAGTTCAGTTCTAGTTCAGTTCTAGTTCAGTTCTAGTTAAGTTCTAGTTTAGTTCTAGTTTAGTTCTAGTTCAGTACTAGTTCAGTTCTGGTTGAGTTTTAGTTGAGTCTAGTCCAGTTCTAGTTGAGTTTTAGTTCAGTTGTGGTTCAGTTCAATTGCAGTTCTAAGTCAGTTGTAGTTCTGTTCTAGATCAATTCTAGTTCAGTTGTAGATCAATCAGTTCTAGTTGAGTTTATAATCAGTTTGATATCAAACACAATTTTATATCTCGTGTTTCACCTATAAATTTCTAATACGATTTCTGTTATAACAAAATGCAATTAATATTTTGCTAATTAAGACCTCTGTCCACTTAAAAGAAACTATAGACTAACACATATTTTACAAAACCGATCCCTACTATACATTTTTTAAATCTAATTAGACTTATTGTTGCAAAAAATATACATACTACTCATCCTTCTTATCTATAAAGAAAATAACTCAAAGCAAATAATAAATAATAAAAACTAATAATAAAATATTGACTGTTTTTAGTTTCAACAAGCCGAACATATAGAGGGGTAAAAAATCAATGAAATTATAAATGTAAAAAGAAATATACAACAACCTCTTATCATCGCCATCCAACAAACTGTCCATAAAATCAACAAAATCATTAAAAACTGAATTAAAGAAAAGCATCGTTTTTTTCGTTTTGCTAATAATGAGCATGCAATAAATTATCTGTAAATAAAATTAAGTAAATATAATTAAATTTATAAAATAAAACTATAAAAAAAATATGAAAAAAACTATACCAACAAAAATTTGCAAACATTTTTTCAGGCATGTCGTCTGTGGTGTTGTTGTTTGCCTTAGAGGGGCGTTACTTTGCCAGTATACTTTATAACACAAAATACTCACTTGGCCATTTTTGCTAATAATTTTCTTTTTAGATGTTTTAATAATTGTTACACAAAGATTTGGCTTATTTACTAGTTGTTTAATTTATAATAATTTTGTTAAAATTTAATTTATAACATTATTTTTTCATTTGTTTTTTTTTCTGTTTTATCAATAAAATTCCACTACACTTGTGGTTTTGTTGTGTATACACTGCTATAGCCCTGCGCCGACAAATTTTAACGTCGGCGGCGGCTGACACTAAAAATATCGGCGGCGGCTTAAAATCGACTGTAAGCCGGTTAAGTTCGCAAATACGCTTAATTTCAAAATTTTCAAAGATTTTAAATAAAAACGGAATCCGAGAGATAAAAAGTGAGATTTTGTATATAATTTATAACAATAAAATAGAGCAAGCACAAAAGTTGTGTGAGAAATTATGCAAGGATGGAAAAAAATAAAAAAATTTAAAAAATTAAAAAAAATTAAAATTTGATTAATTCTTAAAAATTAAAAACAAATTCTTTCACCAAGTTTTTTGCCAGATATTTATTTTTGCCGCATAGTGTAATCTATATAATAAAATTTTGACTCATTCATGTCTGTTCTGTAAACCGATTTGTTTTCAAAACCGAGAAGCTTTTAAAACCGAATTTTGTGTTCTGCAAATCGAATTTTTATTTCAACGTTAAATTCAGAAAAATAAACAAAATTAAATGAAAAAGAGTTTAAAATGTCCATAGCATTTATATTAAGTTACAAAAATTATGTATTTAATTTATTAGAATAAAATTAAATTCGATTTACTTTCGACTAGATTTGTGTACTCGGTTTTAAAACGAGAAAAATTATGAGAACTCGGATTCGGTTTACAGAACAGACAGGATTGTGAAAGTGCCAGACACCTGCCCGCTTACTTTTTTAATGAACGACGTTACGCTTTAAACTGTTTTTGTATATTTTCTAGTTAAGGAGATATGAGGTTACCGAATTTACCCCCTAAACATTAGAATTTCCAAAAACCCCTACTTAGTGCATCTATTTGGTAGGAGACCAACCTCCTGTCCAAATTTTAGATCTTTAGCTTCAACCATTTAGTCTGTGCGATAATGATCAGTCAGAGAATCAGTCAGTCAGTAACGTTAGAATTTTATATATATAGATTGAGTACAATACAATTTAATGATAAATACATTTTTTTCAAAGGTAGCACAGTTCATATTGGTGATAAAGTGATGCATCTCTAACGCATTATTGTTTGTTTGATGTTTTCCTTGTTTGTTATATGCAGTTTATTATAATTCATGCTTTTAATTGAAAATAAGTTATTAAGAGTGAAACTATTATAATTCTTCGTAGTTTTCTTTTCTTGAATATTTTGTACCGTAAATATAGCACTGCACTATCTACTGTTTATTTACAGTTGTGGCAGTGCATTATACGGGTAAGGCTGTTTCTACGATATTTTGCTTTAGATAATACAGTTTATTTTAGATAATAAAGTGTACTAAGGCGGTGTTTGTTTGGCTTCTTTTAATTTTTTCTACGATTTTAGTTTATTTATCTATAATTTTATAAACCTAAATCGTAAATTGCTTATTTTAATTTTTGTCCATTTTATTTTATTTTATTTATTTTTTTAATTATTTTTCTATTTATTCTTGTTTTGTTATTGTTTTTACATTTATTACTACTACTTTTTTGTTTTCTCATTCTCTTTTATTTTTACTACCTTTTATCAGCAACTGTGTACACTTTTATGTATACCCACATTAATTTTTAGTTAGTAATATGTTTGTAGGCGGCCATATTAGTAGTGTTTTACGAGTAAAGTGAAAATTATTTTATATATTGTGTTTGTGTTATATTTCTTTTAATTTTAATTATGATTTTCAATAAATAAAATAGCAAACTAAGTTTATAAATAATAAAAGAAAACTTTAAGTTATAAAGAAACTATTTGTGAGTTAAAAAAATAAATTGGTGAGTGTTAAATAAAAAAAATAATATAGTAAAGCATAAAAACTATATAAAAATAGAACCAAAAATAAAAATGAAGAAAATCATTTTATGAAAAAAAAAACAAAAAAATAAAGCCAGCATAAAAATAATAAAATAAAAATTGATGCTTGTTGGTAAAACAAAATACAAGAAGAGGAAAAAAATGAACAAACAATTTGTGTGTGAGTTAAAGTTATAACAAAAAAAACTGCATTATAACAACAACTTCAATGTAAGAAAATCAAACAACAACAACAACTACTATGAACAATATTTATGTTTTTTTATGTGTGTATG